GAAAAGTAACATGCAGTGCATGAGAATTTGTAGTGACCTTCCACATTATCTCATTTGATCTTTATAACAGCTTTGTGAGCGAGGTAGACGCGTGTATACAATATTTATTTTTCATTATTTTTTCCCAATTTTTAAACAATGATTTCAGAGATGAGAAACTTGATAGCTAAAGAAAATAAATGGCTTGTCTCAATGGCTAACCAAAGCTGGTTAGAAGCAGAGACCTGAAGGGAGGGCTCCGGCTCCTCCAGAAAGCCAGGCCTGCGCTGCAGGAGCTCGTTGCTCTGGGCCAAGGACTTAAAAGGGAAAAGGTTTGGGGAATCTGCTGAGCTGTTTAAGATGGAAAGGCTGTGAGAGCATCCTAGAGAAACAGCCGAGATTGGGCAAATGGAAGAATTGATGGATTCTTTTTAAAAGTCATTTTAAGAAGCCAGTATGAGCTCTCTTAACATGACATTGAAATTTCATCAGTAACAGAGCAAAGATGCCAACATATTTTAGACAAGCCCTGCAGCAGCAGCCTGCAGCCGGTACTGTATTAAAAGTTGCTTGTCATAAGCTCCTCTGAAAAACAGGTGCTCGGTGATGACATTAAGGACATCAAACCGGTTTGGCTCAGTGGATAGAGCGTCAGCCTGTGGACTGAAAGGTCCTGGGTTCGATTCCGGTCAAGGGCATGTACTTTGGTTGCGGACACATCCCCGGTAGGGGGTGTACAAAAAGCAGCTGATTGATGATTCTCTCTCATCGATGTTTCTAACTCTCTATCCTTCTCCCTTCCTCTCTGTAACAAATCAATAAAATATATATATATTTTTTTTTTATTTTTTTATTTATTTTTTTTTTTTAAAGGACATCTCTAAGTGCCGAAGGTTATTGATTGAATGGTTACCAAGTGCCAGGCTCTCTGCTCTGTTGCGGAGACAGAAACAAATGGGACAACTCAGAACTTGCCCCTAGGAGCTTAGAGCCTAGGACAGTTTTCGAGGTGGGGGTCCCCCACTACCTGCATCGGAATTACCTGGTCTTTATTTAAATAGGCTGATGCCTGAGCTCCGAGCTACATGATCAGAATTCTTAAAGGTGGACCCTGGAATCCTCGTTTGTTTAATTAGCACCAAGGGGTCCTTAAACACATTAAAGTTTGAGAATAACTGACCGTGCGGAGGAGACAGACAAGTGAACCCAGACGGGTAGCAAGAGGTAAAGGCTGTGCTGGTGGGCGGGAAAGGATTGTGACTGCAGAGGCCCAGGACGGAGATGTTGTGCTTTGGTCTTCCTCAGCCGGGGAGGAGAGGGGAGAGAAGGGAGGGGATGTTTTAGACACATTCTTAATCCAGAGGAGCAATGGGTCCGGAAAGGAGAGGCGCAAGAAGGCACCTGTGGGGAAATCAGCTCACTTGGTCAGATCTCTGTTCAAATAGTGCCTGCCTAGAGAGGCCCCCCAGAATCACATCTTCCAAAATGACTCTCCTTCCCCTGCCCGGTTATTCTTCAGAGCACCCATCACCTGACAGTGGTGTTCGTCTATCTCATCTTTTGGGTTAGAAGATGAGAGGCTGTCCCTTTCCTTCACAGCTGGATCTCCAGTGTCTGGGAAAGTCGTTGGCACATGGTGGCTGCTCCATAAACAACACGTAACGTAAGTCCCGGGAAGGCAGATGGAGCCACACGGGCCTCCTCTCTGAGCTGCTCAAATGAAACTGCTCTGAGAAACTGCGGGAATCTCAAGGATTCCTGGGGCCTTCCTCTCCCTTTCTTGGCAGATGGCGAGGCGGGAAGGAGCCGCTGGGAGCCCTGGCATGTTCTCCACTCCCCCTCAGACAAGCGTTTGTGCGGCGTACCTCTCCCTCAGGAGGCCTCAGCGCCTCTTCCTGCATCTGAGTCCCCGGGAGCCTCAGAGCCTATTAGCTTGACGTGAGGCTTCCCGGAACACTAAGACGCTGTTTAAGGGACAGAACAGGGAACTTTGGGGAGATGAGTGCGGTCTGACCGAGGAGGGCCCACTGCAGCTTCAGAGAGGGAAGGTCAGGACTCCAGGGCCCGCTGGAATCCTTTGAAGCCCTTGCCGCTGAGGTCGAGCATCCAGTGGGGCGTCTTGCCTGGAAGTCCAATTTTTCTGAAAGCTTTCTCACCAAATGTTCTGCATCGCAGGTTAATGTATAAGACATGAGTTGTAAGTGGAAAGTTGGCAAAGTCCTTTGGAAATTGTCTAAAGGGCAGGAAACAAAGGGTAGCAGTAAAAAGAAACCTAAAAGGATGTTAATTAGGGAAGTGCCTCAGGGAATACGGTTGAGACCAGCTTTTTATTATTTACATAAAAATTAGTTGGAGAATGGCATTGAAAGGGATTCATGTTGGCTAGTGAAACTGCATTAGAGAGCTGTGTGTGAAAATGTGAATAGTGGGATTAAGGGAGGATTCAATTTATTGACAGAATGGAAAAGGAGTGTTTTCTAACATATTTCTATTTATCAACCCACATCCATTCTGTTCACCAGATTTCCAGTTGAGTAGTGGGCAGGAGAGCTTCAGCTTGAATAACTCAGATCTCCACATCTTGGGGGCCAGCAGAAAGTACTTGAAAAGGTTTTGGCATCCTACACATAGGGCCGGTCCTGAAATTGAATGGAATTATATTCAAACCTAGAAGCCTCTCGTTTAGAAGGACCTGGAAGGCAGAGAGAATCCGCTATTGAGCTATAAGCATAAGATTGGGCCACCTATCATCCGTATATCTACCCATTTCCCTTTAGTTAACATTTTCTATCCTTTGGAGCTCGAATTATCACAGAAATTTGTTGTAGAAATTCCTCAGTAGGAAGCTAGCAGTCTCTCTTAAAGTTATTGCACACACAGTGAGCCAGGACTTGAAGTTGGGAGCCCAAGAGTGACCTCTGCTATTTCTCTTGAGCTTACCCAAGGGGATAACTATATAGGCACCATGGAGAATGCTAAGCCCTCGATTTCCCTACAGCCTGGTACTCAAAGAGCAGTCCATGGACCTGCAGGCTCGGAGCATGAGGGAACAAATTAGAAATACAGCTTCTCAACTCCCCCCAGAACGGAGTTAGAATCTGCATTTTAGCAAGATCCCCAGCTGATTTCTATGCATATGAGAAGCGCTGCTCTGAGGCATCCAGGAACCACAGAAAGCAGCACTAAGGGGATTTGGTCGTGTCTGTGGAGTGAAAATTAGACCACGTGACTTCTGTGGCCTAAGGATAGAATTCTGGCATTTGAGACCTTCTGGCTTTAAACTTAAGATCCTCCCTCTTATTTTCTTTAATTTGGCCTCATAAGGCGCCCTGCCTTCTCCGGAATGTAAACATCCTTAAGTGAACATGCCTTTTGAGAAAGTGTTAAAACCCCTGTACACCCCTGAGTGCTCTTCCCCGGAGTGTGGTCTGCACACTGGGCCATTAGCTAATTGCTTCCATCTACGTCACAGGCCTAGCAGCCTGGATCCCGGAGGCTGCTTTTCAGTTCTGCTCGCTTTCCTAGGGCTCCGTGGGCGGGTGTGGTGCACTTGGCTGTTTTCTGCCGCTGGGTGTAGGCTGCTAGTCCACAGGACCAGTCCCTTGGCGGGGTGTCACTGGCCTGGGAAAACTTTTCTAAAACATAAGCTTGGCTTTCAAAGACATGGATTTGAGCAGTTTGTAGACCTGAATGTGTAGAGAATGTGTATTCTCTCTAGACCTGAGATGAGGTAATGACTGGGCTGGGGCCTGGGAGCAGCTGCTCACACTGCCTCCTCCGCCCTCTCTCTTCCCTCCCCTCACCCACAGCTTTCACTCAGGCTTGGTTTTAGAAAATAGACGAGAGCAATGAGGGGGCTGAAGGAGCTGGAAGATGGGTGAATTGGCCTGCCTTTGTCCTCAGTTTATGAGGTGTGTAGGCAGTTGCTGGTTCTGCCAAATTAGGAGGGAACAACAATGAAATCCCAACTCTTCCTCCCCCACCCAGCCAAAGCAGGGTGAATATAGAGTTGTGGCCTAACCTGAATGACGCTTGATTTTTATTCTTATTGGTTTTGCCAAGATTACTCTGTTCTTTTCAGAGATTTTAGGTGGATGTTGAAATGCCCAAGTCGTTCTAGGTACTAGAGATGAGTTAAGGCTTAAGATTTGCCCAGACACGCTTAGGAGATTCAGACTGAGCATGTGAGCATGCATCCGTTGTAAATTAGGCCAGATTGAGGCTCCCCAAACCTCAGTGTACCCTCAGAGCTCCATGCCTACATGAGATGAGTCCCTCGGGCAACAAACAGGTAAGCCAAAAAGTGATCAGTAAGTGCATTGCATAAAGTGTGCCTCCTTCGCCCCAGGCCAATACGTACAGGACAGCTACTAAGGACCCTAGACTGGCCTTATCTCACCCCACACTGAGAACTCAGAAGCAGGGAAATCTCTTCATCTTTGGACTTAGAGCACCTGACCCAGAGCAGGCCCTTGATGTTTGTGGAATGGACATGCAAAGAAAAGAAGCAAGCAAGCCTCTGGCTAGCGAAGTATCTTCTAGAGAAGTCAGTGTTCCAGCAACATCTCAGGCATTACATTTTCAGTTCATTAATTTCAGAGAGGAAGGGATAGGGAGGAAGAGATAGAGACATTGGTGATGAGAGAGAATCATTGATCAGCTGCCCCCTGCCACTACCTACTAGGGTTCGAGCATGCAACCTGGGCAGACCAACTGGGAATCAAACCATGACCTCCTGGTTCATATGTGGACGCTTACCCACTGAGCAACACCTGCCAGGCAGTCCATTTTTTTTTTTTTTTCAAACTATTAAGCCCACCCGTTAGGCCCCATATGTCTGTACAACAAGTCTCCAAAGGAAGCTGCCCTGCCCACAAAGCTTGCTGCACAATGAGTACCTCGCAGTGCATACCTGCAAACCACTGACTGGGCAGGAAAAGGGGCTGGAGATCAAAGTCAGTTCGTTAGGGCGAATGATGTGCTTACAACCTCGTAAGCCGAAGTGTTCCCATTCGTTTCAGGTAAGAGTCTACGATCTCTCCAAATATGAGCATGGAGCAGATGATGTGCTGATCCTGGCAACAGATGGACTGTGGGATGTTTTATCAAATGAAGAAGTGGCAGAAGCAATCACTCAGTTTCTCCCTAACTGTGATCCTGATGACCCTCACAGGTTTGTGCATCTCTGTGATTATAGGGTTAGTTCTTAAGCAGTGTTTTATAATGTGACTGAAATTAATAATCATGCATTTTCAACATTTGTGATATATGGATGAGCTAATAGGATGGTTTAGTAACCAAACTGCAGAAGGGATCATACTTCCTATCAGAGATACAGTCACAGCCAAATGAACATCCTAAGTAGAACCCAGGTAAAGAATTTGATTTATAAGATATTTCAGTATCTTAGTTCATATCCTCCAAAGTATATTTTTATCCACTGGGGAACAATTTATTTGGAGAAACATTGAGAAAGGAGAAAATTAAAGTGGATATTCTTTTATGGCATAATGGCAGTGTAGCTACCTAAACTACCCTAGGTGACTCTCAGGTAGGAATGGAAACCTCTGGAGAAACAGTTTTCACTTAGAACACAAGGACACAAGTCTCCATGAGTAAAGCCAGGAGAAGCAGCAGTCAGCAGAGTTGGGCCTGTAAATATTTCATTATTGGAAATATCACACAAAAATATAAATATTTTTACATGTTTCAGAAAGGTTTGTAAAAGCATTGAAAATATGAACAAGAATAAAAGTCTATAAAATATCTGCAGAGATTTTAAAAATAAGGAAGTGAAACTTCTGGAGATGAAAATATAAGAATAGGAACTAAAATCACTGGATTAAAGAGATTAGAGACAGTTGAAGAGAACACTAGAGAACTGGGAAATGGATCTGAATAATCCAGAATATGGCTCAGAGAGACAAAGAGAAGGAAAAATGTGAAATGAGCTTAAGAAACTAGGAGGATAACCTAAGATACTGTCATTAGAATTCCAAAAGGAAATTCTCTAGCAGATGGAAAGAAAAAAAAAGTGTTCTAGAATTGTTAAGTAATACCTTAATATCCAGAAAGACCAACAAAGAAGAAATGAAAATAAAATTATAATAGGCATTTTATAATGAAACTGAAAAACTTTAAAGAAACAAAAAGATACTAAAAGCAGCTAGAAAGGTAAAACAGATACATAGGAATAGCATTTAGACTGACAGCTGAGTTTTTAAAAGCAATCGGAGCCAAAAGATAGTGAAATTATATCTTCAGTAGGATAGGAAAATAGCTCAATTTTTAGAATTTTCATGTGTAGTAAAAATATCAACAAAGAGGATGCAATAAAGACATTCTGGGGCAAAACAAAAATTTTACTGCCAACCAACCTCCTCTGAAGAAAATTCTGAAAGATGTATTCAGATAGAGGAAATGATCCCAGATGGGAGGCCTGAGAAGTAAGATGGATTACTAAGATATTAATAAATATGTAGGTATACTTAAACTTATATTGACTATATAAAACAGTAATAAGAATGATGTATGGTATTAAAATTAGAGGATTAAAATTCTGAATAAAAATAGCATATGGAGCGTAAGGGGATAGTAATCAGTAAAATATGCTGAAGTTCTATTTGAGAAAAGGTCAAAATGTTTAACTTTAGACTCTAAGTATATATGTTTAAATAAGCAAGTTTCATCATATGTGCCACAAGAATTTTTAAAACTGTTAATATTTGGCTGTTTAGTCAGGGGCATTGACCTTTTTTCCCTTAGATTGTCAAATACAGCAATGAAAATAGCCAACACGACAATAGCAATCCAGTGTAAAAGAATCAAAATTATGTTTTTTATTTGTTTTTGTCAAACTGACAAAAAATAAAATATACTTTTTGGCGTGCTGCAGAATTTTAGCAATTAGTTCATGTGTGCCACAAGATGAAAAAGGTTGAAAATTGCTGGTTAAATAGCTAAGAAAACTACTAAGGGAAATAGAAAATATAACTTTCAAACTAGTCAAGGGAGTGATAATCTACATGGAATTAAAAACCAAACGTATAAAAGTTTTGACTTTTAAGTAAAGAAAACAAAAAACAATAAAAATTAGAAATTACTTGAGCATGAACAATAAGAATAATGCATATCAAAACTTTAAAAGCTGAATTTTGAGCCTTTTCTAATTTGATGAAGACTCTACTCACCCCTGACCTGCCAGAAGTGACTATATCCACGTCATTGGGTAAATTTTTACAGAGCTCTGCCCTGTATCACAAGGAACCTCTACCCCTAAGTTTTAGATTCTTTACCACAGAAAAGGTAAAAGACACCCTTAACCATAGAGAACGATATTTCTCAGAATCAGACCTTGAGGCTGACTTGTATTACTGGGCTAGTTCTGCCCATATTATCAACATAAACATGTAGAAAAAGATTCTTGTAACTTAAGGTTCTAAGGAGCCAAAGGAATGGAACTACATGATTGTGGATTGTATTTTCCCGTGTGCAGGCTGTCAGTAAGCAGCTGTCCTAATTTAAAAGTTTAGGCCTGTGGTCCTTATTTCAATATTTTATTTAGAAAGTGAAAACAGCACAATAAACCCAGGAGAAGTAATGAAAGGAAAAATTATATATAACAAAATAGAGAACAAATATACAATGAAAATAAATGACAAAGCCAAAATTTGAAATAGCTTATATATTAGGGAAATACAAATCAGAACCACAATGGAATACCACCTCACACTCATTCAGATAGCTATTTTAAAAACACATGGACACAAAATAAGTGTTAGTGAGGATGTGGAAAAATTGGAACCCTTTCGCATTGCTGCTGAGAATGTAAAATAGTACAGCTGTGAGAAATTATATGGCACTTCCTTAAAAAATTAAACATAATTACCATATGACCCAGCAATTCTACCTCTGGATATATACCCAAATGAAGAGAAAGAGAAACTCAAAGAGGTATTTGTACACCCATGTTCATAGTAACATTATCCACAGAAGCAAAAAGGTAAAAGCAGCTGAAACTGGTTTGGCTCAGTGGATAGAGCATCAGCCTGTAGACCAAAAGGTCCCAGGTTCGATTCCGGTCAAGGGCATGTACCTTGCTTGTGTGCAAGAGGCAGCTGATCGATGATTCTCTCTCATCGATGTTTCTAACTCTCTATCCCTCTCCCTCTCTGTAAAAATTCAATAAAATATATATTTTTTAAAAGGTAAAAGCAGCCTAAGTATCCATAGACAGATGAATGAATAAAAATATATAGTATATGCATGCATTGGACTATTAACCTTAAAAAGAAAATAAATTTTCACACATACTGTACAAATGATGAACCTTGAAGACATGGTAAAGTCACAGAAGGACAACTATTGTATAATTCCATTTATATGAGGTGCCTAGAGTAGTCAAATTCATAAAGACAGAAAGTGAAATGGTGGTTGACAGGGGTTGGGGGTGGAGTTAGAGATGGGGAGTTGTTTAAAGGACACAGAGTTTCCATTTTGGAAGATGAAAAATTTCTGGAGATGGATGAGGTGATGGCTGCACAACAATGTGAATGCACTTAATGCCACAAAACTGTACACTAAAAGATGGTTAAAGTGGTAAATGTTATGTTTTGTATATTTTACCACCTCCCCCCCCCCAAAAAAAAACAAAAAACCACAAAGAAGCAAATTTTTAAAAATAGATAAAATTTCCCCATAAGGCTAACCAAGAATAAAGTGGTGGGGGCACTGACAAATAAACAATATTAGGAATAAAAAAATAATAATAATCCAGATGCAGTAGCAATCTATATATATAAAAGCGCAATATGCAGAATCACCAGTTGGCTATGACACGCACTGACCAGCAGGGGGCAGATGCTCAATGCAGGAACTGTGCCCAGCCTGCAGGCCCTGATCACCTGATCAGGGTCTGCTAGGCAACCTCTCAGTCCCTCCCCCCATCGGCAAACTCCAATTGCCCAATAGGGAGCCAGGAACCAGGAGAGGGTGGTGATGGGGGTGAGTGGTGATGGACGTGGGAAATGGGGCCAGCTGCTGGGAAAGATCAGCCCTTATTGCAGGCCAGGCCTGGGGACCTATCCATGCATGAATTTCGTGCACTGGGCCTCTAGTTAAATATAAGAGGATATTATGAATATACTAGAGACTGGTATATGAAAATTCATGCACTGTAGGGGTTCCCTCAGCCTGGCCTGCCCCCTCTCACAGTCTGGGAACCCTCATAGGTGGGAAGCGACCCGGCGATCAGGGGAAGGCAATGCCCCCATCACACCTCTGATGGTGCCACTGCTGGCAGCGCAAGCCTCTGCCAGTCATGGTTCCCTGAGCCTTGGGTGGCCCTAGGTGGCTGGACAGCTGACATCTGAGGCTTGCCTGTGCCTCAGGCTGGTCCTGGGCAGCAGGGGAATTGAGAGCGGGTCTGACCCACTGCATGCCTGCCATCCCCGACCCCCAGAAGGGCTGAAATGACTGGGGGACTCCGATGGGGCTGAGGGGTCTGAGCACCACCATCTTGTGGCTATGGGCACCGCCATCTTTGTGACAGTATGACGGTCAATTTGCATATTCCCTCTTTATTATATAGGATACCCATTCATTAATGGGAACATTGTAAAAACATTAATTTCCCCTAAATTGATCTAGCATCAATACAATTTATAACCAAAATTCCAATGGAGTTTTCATGGAACTTCATAAGTTGATTTTAGACATACGTTAAAAAAAAAAAAATGCCAAGAATGTTTGTGACATTTCTGTATGAGTTATATACCCTTCTAGATATTAACACAAAATTAGTACAATTAAGACAGTGTAGAAAAAAATATAAAATTTTATCCTTTTCTCACATCATACACTAAAATCAAGTCCAGGCAAATTAAGACTTACATGTGAAAGGCAAAAATAAATACAACTTTTAGAAAATAGCATATAGGAAACTATCTTGATAATCTCAAAATACAGAAGGATTTCTTGGGACACAGAAAGCACAAACAATTAAAGACTGATACCCTTGACTAGATTAAATTTACCAAGTTTGGTTCTTCAAAAGACAACATCCTATATAATAAAACCCCAATGTGCAAATCAACTGAACGGCAGAAGGACCGGTCACTATGACACTCACCACCAGCGGGCAGACACTCAATGCAGGAGCTGTACCCTGGTGAT